CGCGTCTAACGTCTAACGTACAATAGAATAAACGAATTTCACGAGCCAGCAAAGATATCTTTATTTCTCAAGATCAGTATCAGTTGGGAGCTGATTTTCCGGCCACTCAGCGCGAGCGAACATCAAGATGTGAAATCGATCCCCCGTATGCAGACCTCTGAAAAAAACCATACGGTCAGTCAACAGGGTTTTATAGCTTTGTAATACTTTTTCGACTCCAGCTCCACAATACGAAATAATCTCCAAAAAGTGACCCCAAAAGAGTACTTGGAATTGTGTCGGTGAATGGCGACCGACAACGTTCGAGCTTGTTGGAAAAAAAATTAAATCGCGCATTTATCGGGGATTTTCTATGTATCGGGTTATACAGGATGATTTTATTACATTCGTTTAATAGATCTCTACATTAGATTTAACCCCTAAGTTTGATCGCTTGAAAATATATAGCCTAAAACGTGTCGTAAGTGTAGGGCTTTTTATTAAAAAAATATGCTGTGATTGCTGACATCCTACGCCATGAAGTAGTGTGTGTTCACGCTTTATTATATTAGTATAAATTAAACTTGATTATTACTTTTTCAAATCTATAATTAGATCGCCGAAAAACTCGCAAACAAAATACATTTCTGTAAACTTGTAGATGTTTGAACTAACGCTTATGTAAAACATTTGTTTGTACAACTGTAGTTTTGTAGTGAGTAGGCGTGGAAATTTCCACTCATTTCTTTACATACTTTTAAAAACATGTTTTTATTTGCATTGATAAATGAAAAAGGCGACGTAATACAAGATCTATAATCTATATTCTGCAGATATACAGCGTACGAATTTTAAGTCAAAACTGTTATTCGTCTAAAGCTTTGTACTTAAAAAAAATTAAAGTCTGGTAAAGAAATCCATCAAATAAAACTGTCTACGTATAAAAAGCGACTGTTGCTATAAATATAGTTACTTCCTCAAACGGTTCGAAACGCAAAATCTTTTATCCCTATACTATATCTAAACATTTCATGTTGAATGAAACTTAAACATAGTATCACTTTTAACACAGGGTTTAAGCTAAATTGATACATTAAAATAATCAGGATCATCCTGTACAGTGTACAATATGGTCGCTGGCCCACTCCTCAGCAGCTTGTCCCGTCGGCACGCAAAGGATGGACATGCGCCGGCCACCGCGTGACACACCTGCGCTACAAAAAAACACCCCCGCAAATATATTTATTCCATCTTTTTATATAATACATAATAGATTCGTATAGAGGACTGTCTGTAGTCAACACGGCGAATGTGATTATTTCGTTAGTACATTTTAACCCCATGTCCATGAAGGTTTAATTATCAAAACTCTCTGGTTTGTGTTTCTCTATACTCGTAATCTTGTCTTACTAATATTATAAATGCAAAAGTTTAGATGGATGTATGGATGTTTGTTAGAGTTTGTAGACTAAACGGCTAAACAGATCTCGATGAAATTTCGCATATATGTAAATAATAGTCTAGAAAAAACATAGACTACTCAATTTTTTTTTTAATACCACTCGGAGGGGGTCGCGGCCTCAGCTAGTATTAAGATTAAGAAGAAAGATTTTTATTTTTGTATTATTGTATATATTGTAATAACTCAAAAACTACTGGGCCGATTTTAAATTCTTGCACGATTAAAAAGCTACGTAACCACTGAGGAACTTCGGCAAATGTTTACTTTTTTTTTATTCCACGCGGACGAAATCGCGAGCACAGTGTTATAAATGGAAGCTCCAATTGACTTAACTGAGACCTATCTTACAATGTATTTAAATAATAAAACGTTTTATCTGATTAAATGCTAAAACATAAATTCTTACGTATTAAAAGTTCTGTGTAGTGAAATATTAGTAGCAACTTTTTAAGAAAGAGAAAGTATCAAATATTGCAAACATGGCGTCCGAGAGACAACGTTAGAGAACTGCCAACGCAAGCTGGATCAATATCGCTCGCCGTTTCATCAAGTCGATGGGAAAAAAGAGGAGAAAAAATACATAACTTTTTAGGGTCCGCCTCCCCTGCGGTCCCCTGTCGCCCCCTGCTGCCCATCCCCTTGCCCGGCGTAGCCCGCGCCAACGACGTAAAAAAATAATACAAAAATCCGAGCAAAGCGCTTCGGCGCGTGGCTACAATACAATACTCCTCTATAAAATATCGTATCAAATTTATATAATGGGAAGTACCTTTGTTGGCACGGGGAAGATGTGAAAAAAACTCCTTTGATTAAACTGTGAATGAATGCCGGAATAAGGGTCACTACAGACTAAGTAACTTATGTTCATATTGAACATGTTTTTAATTTTTGTAATCATAGTAATGTTGAATACTTAAAATATACATAATTTTTTACTACAACGTCTGAAAATCTATTATCGAGATATTGACATATGCGAACTTATTAATTTAAAGCATTTCCTCAGTATTGAAGAAAACTACAAAAATAACACTACAGTTAGGTTTTCCGAACATTTCATAACTGTGAAGTCTTTGAAGTGTGTTAAACACTTGAAAGGTTAAATTAAAACCGCCTGCATTGACATACCTTTATGAAAGAGAAAAATTTATTGGGAAATATTTATTGAAACGTTATAGTAAGACCGAAATGTTACTAATCTTGCTTCTAAATCATATTATATTGTAATTGACAAAGTTTATGTTTGTTACTTTGTATTTCCAGAACGTCTAAAGTGTACAGATGTAGAACATAGGCTACTATTCTTTTTTATTTCCGGGCGGACGGAATCGCGGGCGGTAACTAGTCATACTAATATTTTTAATGCGAAAGTTTGGATGGATGGATGTTTGTTAGAGTTTGCAGCCTAAACTGTTGAACAGTTTTCGATGAAGGTATTGATGTAGAGGATAGTCTGGAAGAAAACATACGCTACTGACTTTGTTTTTTTTTTATTCCACGCGGCTGGAGTCGCGGCCGAAAGCTAGTTAGGTTATAACTGTAACATGCTAACATATTACCTGCTTCAATTAGTTATTAAAGCAGTTAGATTGGCATAGTAATACGATGTCACTATGATGACAAAAGCTTCTAAACAGTGTTTTAAAAAAAGTAGCAAAATATAACGTCGAAGATAGTGACGGACAGATGCCATCTAACGAGCATCGCGAGGTCACTTAGGGTGAACTGAACCAACGGAAGCTGCTGTGACAAAGGCTCTAGTCGAATGGCGACTTAAAATACTTTGTAATATCGAAAAAAATATCAACATCTGGCTATTGTCTAGGTCCGCGGGGGAGTCGACGGAATAAAATAAATAGACGACAATGCGCTGCCACCGCACGCGTCATTATTCAAGTGCGATTGACAGCCACTTCCATAGCCCGGGTATAATAATACGCCTACTTACTGCAGAGGTGCACGGTAACAATTCATTTTGATACTTGAAGTTACAACTAACCTTAAAACACCAATGCCTGAAAATTAGGAAATCAATCAATTTGAATACAAGTAGAAAATTCAGGCTTCAAAATACATTAAAAATTGGCGATAAATCTTATTTGCTTAATCGTGAACACAAAACAGAAAACGCAATTAGAATTCCTGAATTTAGGTAACCTATAAGTAAGGTACCTTGCATTTAGTTAGTTAATCAAATCATGATTTTATTTTTAAGAATTTATATAAAATAAATATCACTAAGTATCAAGATGAAGAAATAAACTTCTTTATCATCTAAGGATTTTTTAAGAAGCGTATGCGTGTGTCCTGTCATCCCTTCACATTGAAAAGCGGTGGCGAATCGCAAAGTTCATGAATAAATATAAATTCGATATTCCTTTGGAATATAAATGTCGAATAAAAAGGTGATTTATCAAAAACTGCTGCCCATTCATACGGAATGTTCTTTTATAACATTTAAATAAACATCGTTTTTGGGACGACGTACAAAATGGCGCGTAACAAATTGTAGTTTTTTTTGTAAACTGGCGTATTTGGTGGGACAAGGAGTTCTAATGAGTGGCGAACACCCACACTATGATGATGCAGCATTTCCTTTCACATTTCAACAATGTTTGCCAAAACCAAATAGGAAAAGGTACATTTGGCAACGACGATTAGAAATATTTTTAAAAAGCCCATAAAGAATAATTCGTTGCTCTTTAAGATTAGTAGTAATTTAGTTGGGAAGTGCGGTCACGCAGATATATTACAAATGTTTTAAAAAGCTTCTAATATTTTAATTGGAATCGCGACGCAATATGCTTTTTCTTAAATGATTGAGAGATGTATAACACAAAGGGAGCGTACAGATGAGAGAAGTTTTAAAAGAGAAAAAGGTATGATGTAGTGTAGGTATTCGTCATAATCAAGAGAATTTTTAAGTTGGTTGCACCTTCTTAAAATAAATAGCAATGTGATTTTACAACAGGCACATTGAGACCGAAGATAGTCATTTGGAAAAAGCATGATTTAGTTACTGAAGAAATAAACATTTAATAGTAGAAATTACACTTCTGAACCTCAATAAAACGACATATAAGGTACCGTTTATAGAAGAAATAATGGCCATATTTTTACCTAAAGAGAAAAAGATAAAACGTTTTTAATTAAGTGTAAATATAATAGCTGAGTGTATCACAATTGTTATAGGATAGTCTATAATTACAGTTTTTGTATTTAATGAAAAATACTAAATATGCTAAATTACAACTATATGAACAAACAAAAAGCCTTTGCCCACCCTGTGCCACACAAAAAAAAAAGACATAGTGTTGCTAGAAATGGTAACAATTTACAATTTAGTAAAAAATAGTGTTTTACAGTAACCTCGATATGTAAAACTTCATGATTTCGGTCATTTATTATATTTCTGTACATTATAGACATAGATTTATATAATATCCACATGTTTTTAATAACTAGTGCAAATAACTACAAAAGTTATTTCTTTCATAATCCATAATTTATTTTTTGAGTAATATTAAAAATTAAGTCTGGCAACATCAAAAGTGTCATCGTTGACATTGACAGCATGATAGCATTTTACCGCAACTAAAAAACCAAATCGTGACTTTCAAGTTTTAATTTCCAAAACATTTAAATTGTAACCCATCTAATGTAAGTAAATTTTTCATAAATCTTTACAAAATTATCCAGTTAATTGATAAAATACTTATAGTAACAAATATTACATTGATAGCCAAGCAAAATAACAATGAACCGTTAAAGTTAACAAAACATATAATTCCAGTGAAATGGCGGCTTCAGTGATCAACACTTACGCCGATCCTTGCATACCAGAATGGATGAACGCGCCCCACAGCACGGGCACCTCGATCATGGCTTGCGAGTTCGACGGCGGCGTTGTGATCGGTGCGGACTCCCGAACGACCACGGGCGCCTACATCGCTAACAGAGTAACCGACAAACTAACAAAAATTACTGATCACATATATTGCTGTCGTTCGGGCTCTGCTGCCGACACTCAAGCGATCGCAGACATTGTTACCTACCATCTTAGTAAGTTGCACATTTTAAAACATTTTTTTTTACTTTTATAATACTAGACTTTTCAGTCTGTATAATCATTTTACTTGATGCTGTCTTAAATTGTCAATTAGAACAATATTTATGTAACGCATGTAGTTTAGATAGCTGTTTTTCTTGTAGACTTTCATAAAATGGAGTTGGGAGAGCCTCCTCTAGTGCAAACTGCTGCCGCAATCTTCCGTGAGCTCTGCTACAACTACAGGGACTCCTTAGTCGCTGGTATCTTAGTAGCCGGTTGGGACAAGAAGGAAGGAGGTATATTTTAACTGTATATAAACAAATTAAAATATCATTACTTTGTATAAAAACATTCCCATTCAGTGTTTAGTTTGTGAAGGTAAAACATCACAAATGGTAATAATTACAAACAAAGCTTTCATATATTGAAAAATCTTGAATTCTACATTATTTTATCATAAGGTGACAAATAATAAAGTTGTCACTTGAATTCACAAAAATAGCAAAGTGACTACTTAGGCAATATTCATTCAAAATTATAGTTGCATTACCTACCTGAACAGATGTAGATAACGCATAGAAAAAAAAATTTTGCCTTCCTAGGTCTCCTGACTAATCTACTTTGGCGTCCCATCCTTTTCTTATAAGAAAAAGTTGGTATAGGAGACTAAAATTAGACCCCACACATTTATTGTATGTTTACAAATCTTAGAAAACGTCTAACTCATAATTTCTTATTCAGGTCAAATCTACTGTGTCCCTATTGGAGGCATGGTGCAACGGCAAGCAGTGTCTATTGGTGGGTCTGGTTCTTCATATGTGTATGGTTACGTTGACGCTAACTTCAAGC